ATCCCCCTCCCATCTTCCCCTACTCCATCCCATGTTCCTCCCCCTCCTCCACCCCCCCTCCCATCCTCCTCCTCCTCCTTCTCCACCCCCCCCCACCCCACTTCTATCCTCCTCCTCCTCCTCCTCCTCCCCCTCCTGTCCTTCTCCTCCTCCACCCCCTCCCACCCTCCTCCTCCCCCTCCTCCCCCTCCCACCATCCTCCTCTTCCTCCTCTTCTTCCACCCCTTCCCATCCATCCTCCTCCTCCTCCACCCCCTCCCATCCATCCATCCTCCTCCTCCTCCTCCACCCCCTCCCATCCATCCATCCTCCTCCTCCTCCACCCCCTCCCATCCACCCCCATCCCCTCCCCCACCCTCGCATCCTCACCAGGCCCCACCAGGAGGAAATCGCCATCCGAAATATTCTTCTTCTGATCCGTGTCGTGGATCCAAGCGGGTACCAGTAAGTTCACCTTCGTCACGTTGAGTTCGATGCCGTACCCGCGGGCGTTACCGAGGTCGAGTATCCACAGCTGTTCTACGGTCGAGGCTGAGATGTTGCTGGGCGCGAAGGTGATAGTGTTGTTGGGTTCCCTCAGGTAAATAGGCTGGCGATAAAGGGTTTGTTTTTTTGTTTGTTTTGTTTATTGAGGGGTTGGGAGTGGCGTGTAGGGTTTATGTTTTGTTTTTAAGGGGTTGAGAGTGGCAGTTGGGGTTCAGAGTGGCACTTAAGGTTTATATTTTATTTTCAAGGAGTTCAGAGTGGCACTTAAGGTTTATATTTTGTTATTAAGAGGTTGAGAGTGGCACTGAGGGTTCAGATTTTGGTATTAAAGAGTTCGAAGTGGCACTTAATGTTCAGATGTTGTTGAGTGGCATATAGGGTATAGCTTGGTTTAGCTTATTATGTTTAGCTTTTTCTAATTATGTAATTGGGTTTACCTTAACCCATTGCCGCCGGGGATGGCATGTACGTACATGTCATGCCCACTGTGAGTCGACTTGTTCGATTGTTTTTACACATATATGGCTAGACTTGTACTAAGTATCCAATGAGCCAATTACAGTACTGCCTGTCTCGCCCGTTCACCCTTTTCATCGATTTACGAAAATATTTAACGTTATACTAATTTGCTGTTAAAAATAACACCATCTATATTTATAGCACTAGTAAAAATACGTTTTTTCCCGCCAATTTAAGGAAAGGTGAAATCAGGACTAGCAGAGCCATCTATGGCCAGATATATTTCACAAAAATATAAAAAATGAGTACTGCATTTCCCCCATTTTTTGTTTATTTTCCCCGGCGGCAATGGGTTCATTATTTATATATATTTAGATGCAGTGAAGGTGATGCAAAGGAGATATCTAATTACTCACTATATTCTGTGCTCCTTATTATTTGAAACTGATTTTCTATCTTGTCTATATCAGGAAATTAAACAGTATTGCAAATTCTAGATTCGTCATGATCAACTGATAATATATAAACACACTTGTTATTAAAACACCAATAAACAAAAATATTTTTTGACAAAACAATATACCAAACCAAAGACCCTCTGCACAAGAATAATTAATAATGATAATAATAATAATTATGATGATGATAATATTAGTATTAATAATAATAATAACAATGGTAGTAATACTAATACTAATACTAATAATAATAACAATAATGACAATAATAATGATAATAAAAATATCAATATAAATAATAATGATAATAAAAATATCATATTATATATGATAATGATAAGAAGAATACGGTAACAAATAAATAAAAATATAAATTATAATAACCATAACAATAACAACAATAACAAATAATAATATTAACAATAACAAAACCCTATCCTTATCACCTGGATAGCGCGGCCGCCATTCCGCCCTTCTGCCGCGAAGGTGCTGTTGTCTGGGCCCCGTGACGCGCCCTCTGTCGGCTGCGTCAGGAACTGCTGGTGCGGGCGGATCGCTTCACTCGTGGGCGTCGATGGTGTTTGGGCTTCCACTACGAGGACGACTAGGGTGAGGGATGAAGAAGAGGAAATATGAATGTACGGATATGTATTCTTGTTTTTTTCTTTCTTTCTTTCTTTCTTTCTTTTCTTTTGTTTTTTATTTTTTTCTTTTTTTTCTTTTTTTTCTTTTTCTCTTTCTTTTTTTCTTTTTTCTTTTCTTTTTTTGTCTTTCTTTTTTTCTTTTTTCCCTTTCTTTTTTCTTTTTCTTTTATTCCTTTTTTAATCTTTTCTTATTTTTATCTTTAATTGGTCAACTAGCCCGACTAGAAGATGATGAAGGCGAAAAAAAGGAGAGAAGATAAAACACGAGTGAACAGATATACATTCTTCTTCATATTTCCTATTTATCCTTATTTGGTCTTCTGCGATATACAAAAAAAATAAAAGAAATAAAATTATTAATCCATTTATGATCTATTTTTATTGAGTTAATCCCCCAAGACTTAAATCTACAAGCTTCACAATCATTCCAAGAACAAGGAGGTAAACGTCACGATACGTACCGATAAAAATGTAGCACAAATATTTCTTCATGTCGAAAGCTGTTCTTTTTTTTTTTTTGGGGGGGGGGTGAAAGGATTTTTCCCGATGTCCACGGAGCTAAAAGAAGAAAAAAAAGACCCATTGTTACTGAAGACTAAAAATAGCTATTAATTCCAGATGTAAACAAATTTATTCTTGTGTAAAGTAACTCGAGGGGGGGGGGATAGGCTGTTTTAATGTAGTTTTCATTTTTCTGTCTTTCAATGTAGGATTTTAAAATACTAATTAATATTTAGTATTAGGACATGGATAATATCATTCTGGCACTTGAAACACCCGACAGTGAGCACATTGTAAACACACACACAAAAAAAAGAAAAACACAATGCTTCCTTTGTTGCAGATCAGAGAAAACAAGATAAGAGTATGTGTGAATTTAATAAATAACAGGCACATGGTAATCTACAACTCTATCCAATGTTTCGCAGGTAAGTCAGACATCAGGACAGGAAAAATTACGTATATATTTTCCTACCTTGTCCTGTCGACAATGTACTTTTCCGAATTTCTCTCGAGACGGCCGTCGGTTTGCTTCCCACAAGTCCTCAAAGGTAACTGAATCAGTAACCTTATTATATCAGAGTTTATGACACTTATTCGTTGGATCTCCAGATTAGGGGTTTCCTGTGTGTTATCAAATCCCACTGCAATAAATAGTTGTATAATAATAAAACTCCTTCTTTGTTATCAGTCTCTCCGGATTTCCCCTTTTGCACGTTTCGAATGAGTTCAGTTTTATAAGTTCGAACGGTGAAAGTGTTTGCTGTGAACCTCTGTCCAAAAACTAATATAGGCAACGTTATTTGCATATAGCTTAGACCCCTATGTCTAAGGATCGTTCCATATTCACATGGACTCCTCTCTCACTTGTCTTTTATCTCATCGACGTCAAAGCCTCAAAATAAAGTGGCTTTTCAACAGCAAGAAATTTCCACCCTTAGCAAGAGCGTAAGGATTTCCAGGTATGTCAGATACTGCAGTTAATAGTTATGCTATATGTGTATCGTGATAAATAAACTGATGGGGGAAAATAATTCTATGGCCCTCTGTATCATAGACATACTAAATATACATAACTGTGTGGGTGTGTTTGTTTGAAAGTGTTTATGTGTGTGTGTGCATGTATAATATATATATATATATATATATATATATATATATATATATATATATATATATATATATATATATATATATATAATATATATGTATATATACATATATATGTATATGTGTGTGTATGTGTGTGTATAGATGTGTATATGTATATACATGTGAATATATATATATATATATATATATATATATATATATATATATATATATATATATACATATATATATATATATGTGTGTGTGTGTGTGTGTGTGTGTGTTATAGTATAGTATAGATAGACGTTTAGGATATAGATAAACGTACGTTTAGACACACATACACACACACACACTGATACACGCACGCATGCATGCACACACACACATAAACACACACACACACGGTATTCTTAAAATTATTTCTTGAAAATGGTATAAGTAACAAACCCATTTCAATTACGGTTTAAAATAATGAAAAAATCTTTAACTTCATATGTTGTGAAAATGTGACATTTTTTCAGTTACCTAAAACTCCTTACCTTTGACATCTTCCTATTCATCTATAAAAAAAACCTTGCTGGATAGAAGGGGGGGGGGGGGGGTTAATTAGAAATTCATCTCAGAAGTCACTTGAAAAGCAGCATATCAGCCCCCCCCCTCCTCCCCAAGACACTTTTTTTTTTTTTATAATTACTGCAATCTAAGCATACCTAGTTCACAAGGCTCTTATCTCCTCTTCCTATTTCAGTCCTCGTAACATTAATTAAGAAAAAAGGCTCAAAGATGATGATTAATCTTATTCTCATTTCACTAGAATCCATTTTTATATTATGGTAGTATTTTAGTATTATTTTATCATTCCTATCGGCAAATGAAATCAGTCCGAGTAGTGTTAACCAAAAATCGCCACTGCATGAATTTATGAATCCAAGAAAAAAATCACGCAAGGAATTTCAACGTCACATGAACGGTTATTGCTTAAAAATTAAATAAATGTGCTAAACATCAAAGGTCATATAGCACTGTGGTAAATTATTATGACGAAAAGGGTAAAAAATAAGAAGACCGAAGGGGATGAAAACAGGAGGAAAAGACTATGAAAAATTAGTTGAGTCGAGGGCTGAGGTACAAGGCAGGAGTGATCCCCGAAACTGGTGCCTCAGTCTCCGTCTCCTAAGCACCCCCTCCCCCCCTCACGACAACGAATAAGGAATTAGGAGGGCGAGCTACTTGTGAAATCACTTTGATATTAACTTGTAAATAACTGAATTATTAATGTAAATAAACTAAGACTATAAAAAAGCAAGTAGGTTCTCCCTACTACTTTCAGCATTCTCTCTCTTTCATTTTCCAACTTTTTCTTCCCTACTTTATATAGCTTATCCTACAGGGTTTCCCATCTTCCCTACACTGATAAAAAAAAAATGTGGAACGTCACATGAAACGAATGGCCTAAATGCTATTATTTATAGCTAGCGTCGAATCAACCGAAATTTTCTCGGGTCTGCTTTTATTTTTGTGACGAATTCGTAATAAACGATGCTAGACATATAAAGGAGGCTGACGTTAAGCAAATTTATCGTAAAATCTTGTCAGTTTGGGCCCGGATATTTAGATCATTGGATAGTGTACAGGAGACTTGATGTCTGTTTCTCAGGCTGATAGGCGAAAGGATGAAAAAAAAAATGGTGAAAGAAAAAGAGGGGTTAAGAGAAAGAGATAAGGAAAGAGAAGTAGTGAATGAGAAAGAGAGAAAAAGTGATAGGATCGGTAAATGAATGAGAGAGGGAGAGGGAGAGAGAGAGAGAGAGGGAGAGAGAGAGGGAGAGAGAGAGAGAGAGAGAGAGAGAGAGAGAGAGAGAGAGAGAGAGAGAGAGAGAGAGAGAGAGAGAGACAGAATCATTACAATGAAAATTATTTCTCATGAACATCGTATGGTGTAAGGAGGTAGATTATAATAAAAACAAGGAAATTCTCTTTTTTATATAAAATACAATGCAAATGTTTACAAATAAGATTTGTTCCCATAATATAAATACATTCCATTAGAAAAAATACTCCACTTAATGCAATCCCAAAGATTAAAGTTATTCAAACTGAATAGTAAACTGGAACGATACAGTGAGATCCTACGTTTTAATATGTACCTATCAACTTAGTCTAAAGAATATCTAAAGAATATAGCTTCACATTCAGACCTAATAACATGAAATTTATGTAGATATAACTTAATAATGTAGATACATCCATATAAGATGTAACTTAATAATATATATACATTCCGTTCCACATTCAGACCTAATAACATGAAATTTATGTAGATATAACTTAATAATGTAGATACATTCCATTATTAAGATGTAACTTAATAATATATATACATTCCGTTAGAAAAAAATACTCCACATGATGTAATCCAAAAGATTAGTTATCCAAACTGTGAATAGTAAACTGAAACTATACAGTTAAATCCTACCTTTCAATATGTACCTATCAACTTAGTCTAAAGAATATAGCTTTACATTCAGACCTAATAGCATGAAATTTATGTAGATGTAACTTAACCGCTTTCTTAGGAATGGTCTATAACATCTCATCTCATAATTTTATTCTTGATTTGAGCAGGTTTTTCTGTCCTCTTAACTTTGGTGGATTAAGTACTATTGTCTTCTCTGCTCTAAGCATAAATAACTAAAGTTTTCTTATTTTTCTGTCTTTCGGATTTCCATCTTAGGTAATGCAGATTTCCGTTCCTTCTGTTCCTGTGCTATTTAAATCCTTGTTTCATTTTTTCCCGAGTGGTTCTACAGGAAAGACTAATGCTTAATTTCCTTGTGCCATTTTCTTCTTCTTAGGTGATCCAGGCTTCCTTCTCTTGTTCGACTTGAACAGAGCTTCCACAGACCTTTCTTGTGTTTTTCCCCTTAGACTGAGGAGGCTGAGACTTTTTCGTTTTTTTCTTCGCCTCAGATGATCCAGGTTGCCTTGCCTTCACCGTAGATGATCCGGGTTTCCTGGTCCCATTGCCCTTGAGTAGAGGCAGCCAAGATTTTGGTTTTCTTCCCTTGAACTTACGAGGTTGGGGTTTTCCTGTTTTTCCCTTCGCTACAGACTGTCCAGGTCTCCTTGCCTTTTTAGCGTCTGCCTTAGGTAGTGTAGATTTTGCTCTTTTCTTTTTCAGTGGCATCTCACTTCCTGCTTCAATTTTCCTTGTTGGCTTCACAGGAATGAGTGACTCACCTGATTCTCTGGTACTAGTTCCCTTGCCTTCAGAAGGTCGGAGTATCTCTGTCATTTTCTTCCCCCTAGATGATCCACGCTTCCTTGTCTTGTTCGACTTGAAAAGAGCTTCCACAGACCTTTTTGTGTTTTTCCCTTTAGACTGAGGAGGCTGAGACTTTTTCGTTTTTTTCTTCGCCTCAGATGATCCAGGTTTCCTTGTCTTTCTGGCTCTCTTATATTGCCTGCCTTTCATTTCTGTCCTTTTCTTCGTCGTAGATGATCCGGGTTTCCTGGTCCCATTGCCCTTGAGCAGAGGCAGCCAAGATTTTGGTTTTCTTCCCTTGAACTTACGAGGTTGGGGTTTTCCTGTTTTTCCCTTCACTACAGACTGTCCAGGTCTCCTTGCCTTTTTAGCGTCTTCTGCCTTAGGTAGTGTGGATTTTGCTCTTTTCTTTTTCAGTGGCATCTCACTTCCTGCTTCAATTTTCTTTGTTTGCTTCACAGAAATGAGTGACTCACCTGATTCTCTGGTACTAGTTCCCTTGCTTTCAGAAGGTCGGAGTTTCTCTGTCATTTTCTTCCCCCTAGATGATCCACGCTTCCTTGTCTTGTTCGACTTGAACAGAGCTTCCACAGACCTTTTTGTTTTTTTCCCTTTAGACTGAGGAGGCTGAGACTTTTTCATTTTTTTCTTCGCCTCAGATGATCCAGGTTGCCTTGCCTTTCTGGCTCCCTTAGATTGCTTCACTTCTGTCCTTTTCTTCACCGTAGATGATCCGGGTTTCCTGGTCCCATTGCCCTTGAGCAGAGGCAGCCAAGACTTTGGTTTTCTTCCCTTGAACTTACGAGGTTGAGGTTTTCCTGTTTTTCTCTTCGCTTCAGACTGTCCACGCTTCCTTGTCTTGTTCGACTTGAACAGAGCTTCCACAGACTTTTTTGGTTTTACCCCCTTGAACTTAGGAGGTTGTGCCTTATGTGTTTTTTTCTTTGTCTCAGGGGATCCAGGTTTTCTTGCACTGAACTTTTGAGGTTGGGGTTTTCCTGTTTTTCTCTTCTCTACAGACGGTCCAGGTCTCCTTGCCTTTTTAGCATTCACACTAGGTAATGTAAATTTTCCTCCCTTCCTTTTCTTAATTCCTGATACTTTTCTCTCAAATGGGGTTCCCACAGCGATTGGTGCAACTCCTTTTGTTTCAGCGTCAGGAGTCTTGGATTTTCCGGTTACGCCTTTCTTGATTCCAGAAGGACGAAGGCTTTCTTTAGGCTTCTTCCCTCTGGATTCATGAGGTTGAGACTTCTGAGTTTCTTTCTTCGCCTCAGGTGATTGAGAGGTTCTTGTCTCTTCCACTTTCGGCAAGGTAGTTTCTATTTCTTTCCGTCCCATTGGTATCAGGCCTACTAGCGAACGTTTCTTCTCTGTTGGGGTTTCAGAAGGTACACTTTTCTCATCTGTTTTCTCAGTTTCTGATGGTCCAAATTCGCTAACTTCTTTGACTACGTGTCCCTCAACTGTTTTCTCAGGTGTTTTGGTTTCTGTTGACTTCGAAACCTCTTTCAGCTCAATGACTGCACTGACATTCACTTCATTTCTTTTCTTATGGTCCGAACCGGGAACTTCCCCTTCAGTAATCATCTCTAATTTCCCACGATATTCATGTTCTTTTATTTGGGACTGTGTGTGAATCTGTAAATTGAGAAAAAAAACATAAATATGAGACAAATATATACATAAATAAATAAATGTGTAAATATAAAAATAAACGTATATTTGAGAACTGTATATATATATAAAAAAAATATAAAAACTTGCATAGCAACATTAGGTAGACTCAAACTAAATGTAGCATTGTGGTCCATTAAATATATATATGTATATATATATATATATATATATATATATATATATATATATATATACATATATATATATACATATATATATATATATATATATATATATATATATATATATATATATATATATATATATATATATTAGGGTGGTTCGTTTTTGGTGAAATTTCTTTTATTATTATTATTATTATTATTATTATTATTATTATTATTATTATTGTTATTATTATTATTATTATTATTATTATTATCATCATCAGCATTATTTTCATACACATTCTGGTTATGTACCTTTATTGGAAAATTAATCCCCTGCAAAATTTCAAATGATTTCATTGATGTTTAGTGATCACCGCATTCTTTGGATTTTGGTCAGTGAGACAATTTTGGCAATCTATGAGACAGATGGTTCCTTTATCCAGAAATGAAAAAGTATTTTGTTGTTTCATTGGACACAATCCTTCCAACCTTGAAATGTTTACAAATTAAAAGCATGAAAATTTTGGATGAGGATACAAGTTATATTTGGCGAAGAAAAGGTTTGAATGAGAATGAATATCTTCACAATACAAGAGATGTATCTGACCGGTTTCGATTATATCTTCGTCAGAAATACATGTATTTGATTTATTTCTGATGAAAATAATGAACAAAACATGAATACGGCTAATATTTCTTGTATATCTTTGGAAGCCTTAAGGAGGTGGAAGTGAAAAGAGTTTTTAAGCCAGAAAGCTGTGGATCATGACCAGTTTCAGCCACTGATGCAAGATGTGTTCCCTTAATATGAATACATTCCAATAGAAAAAATACTCCACGTAATGCAATCCTAAAGATTAAAGTTATTCAAACTGAATAGTAAACTGAAACCATACAGCTAAATCCTACCTTTCAATATGTACCTATCAACTTAGTCTAAAGAAAGTAGCTTTACATTCAGACCTAATAACATGAAATTTGTGTAGATGTAACTTAACCGCTTTCTTAGGAATGGTTTATAACATGTCTTATATCTGTTTTATTCTTGATTTGAGCAGGTTTTTCTGTCCTGAAAGTTTCAGAAGAGTTTATCAAAAATAGTTTGAAAGAGCACCGCCATGAAGTCCTCCATGTCCTGTAGCAAACCTTGATAGCAGAACCACACTTGATGGATGTCTAGGGCGATCTACTGCATCAGGATATTTTTGAAGAGAATTTCAACTCACTGTAACAGAACGCTAATCTATGTCAAAATTAATTTTGTGCACTGCTTTGATGTATGCTAGGTTTTGGAACAAAGCTATCCTGTCTTCCTACGCTCCACTAACGACTTGAAGTTTATGACTCTCCTGGAACAAGGTGTGGCAGATCCTATCTCAGATTCAACAGCTGTGAATGCCTTCAAACACCACCTTTGGCATCTAGCCGAAAGATCTTGTTGATCGGTCACTTTTTGATGACCGGGTTGGAGGCTGAGAAGGGGAGGATTGCTGAGAAGATGAGAAACCAGCCCACAATAAGAAAGCATATAAAGGCCTTTTTTGTAGCATTCTCAAACCCCTAACACTTTGATACATTGTTTCAAGTTGTATCAAGGTCGCTACAAAACACTATAGCTTCGAAGTTTGTACTGACATACAAAGTTTTGAGAAGAGGAGAAGTTAGTTTTCTTTTCTTCACATGAAAAAGGCAGTAGACAGCAACTACTTAATATACTTCTATGATTTTTATGTACAAGCAAAACATTGCGAAAGCTTCAAATAAAATGGTAAAAGTACCTGACTACTCTGGAACTAATATTGTTTATACACACCACTCTTCGCTTTGCAAGGCTGTGGAAAGTTTATGTATTTCTCAGATTCAGTCTTTTTTTATTATAATTATTACATTCATTGTTCTTCATATGAGATGTGGAAGTTGCATAAGGTTTTGGATCTCATCGTATCCACCGCGAGTGAGTTCCGCGTCCAAATCAAACAACTGGGTACTTCCAACGATCACGGATATCTACTTGACGTAAGGACGTTCCTGATCAAAGAACCTGCTCTTTGGAAGATTGATGATGACTTCCAACAGTTCTTCGAAGCTTCCAAGAAGATGAAGGTGACTCATGACCTTGCTGAACAAGGGATTGCCTTCATCAGCGAGTTCAACTCTTCGGAGATGAACATTATTAAATATCCTGTTAATTTCAACTTACATCTATAATACAAGCATCAATATATTTGCGTTAATGCACTCCATCTAGCAAATGTTGTGCATTAACGTGGATATGTCGAAACTTATTTTATAGATTAAAAGTTTAAGTCAACAAAACATGAAATAAATGTCGAGTAATTGCACGTGCATGCATTCAATTTTTCTCTGTTGAAGAAAAGCTACGACTCCTCTTTTGACAAATTATCAAACGTTAATTCAGCCATCTCCTATATTTTTCTTACTGCATTTTATCTAAAATATACAAATAGCGGCGCCCGTCTTTACAACCAATGCAATGACAATAAGCGTAGGGATGCCACATCACATTTAGATATACCTAAATGTGTAATATTACCGTCATGATATAAGCAAAATATATTGCCTTATTTACATCAAAATAAGATTTATTACGAAATAAATGTGTTCTATTACCAGCATTAACTTAAGACCTTTCGTGAATTCCGTTCCAGATTCCTACTTGCTCTAAAAAGGACCTAATGGAAAAAAATGTAGATGTTGCAAAGCCAACAATATATGTTGGACTTTGTTACATGTATGTATATATTTGTGTGTGTGTGTGTGAGTGAGTGTGAGTGTGTGTGTGAGTGTGTGAGTGTGTGTGTGTGTGTGTGTGTGTGTGTGTGTGTGTGTGTGTGTGTGTGTGTGTGTGTGTGTGTGTGTGTGTATGTGTGTGTGTGTGTGTGTGTGTGTGTGTGTGTGTGTGTGTGTGTGTGTGTGTGTGTGTGTGTGTGTGTGTGTGTGTGTGTGCGTGTGTGTGTGTGTGTGTGTGTATTCACTAAATCAAAGATTTTACAAGAGTAGTCGAGAAATTTAAAACTTAATCATTACCTTAACGTCCTGATTCTCTCCATCTGTCATTTCCTTTTCTGTGTCACTAATCACCTCTACGTCATCCGTTTTCCATTCTACTTCCTCTTCTACGTCACTCAGCGCCCGGGGATATTGATCAAGGCTTCTGTCCATCTCCACCGCCTTCAGCACCTGTAGATGTGAACGATAATGAGTAGAACAGTCCGAATGTTAGTGGTATTCGATAGGCAAGCGTAACGTTTGGGTTTTAGTGGGCTAAATTTTTTGAAGTATTTGCGAATAATTTCCGATGAAATGAAACATAACGATCTAGACTCTATTGTTGTAATTAAGTAAATAGATAAAATGAGACAGCTGCTTAGAGGAGGAAAGATGTTTTTATTAATTAAACACAGAAACACACACACACACACACACACACATATATATATATATATATATATATATATATATATATATATATATATATGTAGAGAGAGAGAGAAAAAAAAAAGAAAGAAAGAGAGAGAGAGAGAGAGAGAGATACATATATATATATAATAAATTTATATATATAAACATATACACACACACACATATATATATATATATATATATATATATATATATATATATATATATATATATATATATATATATAATTGTACATAATGTATATAGAACATATATATGTACATAATGTATATAGAAAATATATATGTGTATATATATACATATATATATATATCTGAACCATGGATTTACTAAATCAAAAATTTTGCACAGAACCCAAAAGTAGTGGAAAAAAACAAAAGTTAATCATCACCTGCTTCAAGTCATTTTCTCCTCTTATTTTCTCTGTTATCTCCTCTGCGTCATTCAGCGCCTGATGATATCCTTCCTGGCTTCCTTCCACCCTCTTCGTTCTCAGCGCCTGTAGATGAGAACGACAATGAGCTATAAACACCCATATACAGTATACAGAATGAAGAGCTGGTCAAAAGCAGAAATATCTCTCCTTGTTAAAATGTGTCATATTTACAGCAACATTTTTGACGAAGGAAAAACATATACGAAGCTGCACCTTTTGTATAGGATGCTACGGCGTCTTGTTTGCGCTTTCGGCATGGACTTTCATTAAAATACGTACCTTACTCGACAATCTCTTGGGCTTTGACAAGTGCGCGCAAACCCGTGTAGATGCATTCAAACCTACGATTGAGTAGAAAGAGCACTAGGGGACTGACTCAAAGCAGTTAAAAACGAGTGAAGTCACACATGGTTCCACTGTGACTGAAAGGCTAGAACACTCATTCACACGCACATGTTATGCTATCGTGTTCTCAGGAGTGGTAACAATCTTTTGATATAGCCGCTGAGAAAGGTACATTTCAAGAAACGTTAAAGATGATAATTATAAGCATCATGAGAAGTGGCTAACGTTTACCTTTATGCTACTGCAAACAATATATAATATATAATATAATATATTTACGGTCTCAGACATCAATAACTGATAACTGTGAGCACGCAAAAAAGAAAAAAAGAAAAAAAATCCCAAAGTGGAAATAAACATGTTCTTGACATAAAAAAACGGGTATCGAAAACAAATTTGTGACAAACTCAAAAACAATAAACCCCAAATATGCCTAAAAAGTCAGCTTATTTACTATATCATATTCCAAGTCTGATTTCAAGGAAGAAGTTAACTACAAAGTTGTAGATGCTGCTTCAATATTTGCTCAAAATTCATATCAAACTGCGGCACAAATATCTTGCTTTCAAACCCAAATAGGCTAATATCCCCATGCATTCTATCAAGTCACAAGCCTATATGTTATCAATCCTATAGCTTTCCATCACAGGGTTACCGAAAATTCCACACTAAACAAAGAACTGGCCTATTTCCCGGCACTCACCTTTCCAAACGAGTTACGTAATAAAAAAAAAAAAAAAAAAAAAAAAAAAAAAAAAAAAAAAAAAAACTCGTTTCGCTTCCTTTACAGTGTTATTTAAAATTTAATAGTTTTGTACCATAATAACATGGACGTGGGCAGCATATAGGCCTACGTCACTTTGTTAGATGTTACTACCTTTTTTCCCTGCCACTGGAAATTCTACTAATCGGTAACAATGACCGAATGTTAACCTTATTAATATAATTATTATCATTATCATTATCATTATCATTATCATTATCATTATCATTATTATCATTATCATTATCATTATCATTATCATTATCATTATCATTATCATTATCATTATCATTATCATTATTATTATTATTATTATTATTATTATTATCATTATCATTATCATTATTATTATTATTATTATCATTATTATTATTATTACTATTACTATTATTATTAGCATGATGATGATGATGATGTTCCTACCTTACTTCGCTGCCAATGGTAACAATGACCGAATGTTATCTTTCTGAAAGCCTAACGTGATGCGACGTCTTTTCATAAGGCACAGTAATACACCGTCACCTCGGCTATTACACTTATAGCACTAAATACTAAACCGACATCCGTATATTTCTATTTAGAAATTTACAAAGATTTAGATGATCATATTGTCAGCGTAAAGAGTTCACAGATTAAGAAGGACACAAAGACCAACTTACGTGAAATGGGCATCTGTGTTACTAACTACGAATTTGATGATAGGGCATGCACTGATCATCGATAATATCATGAAATATTGGTCTGTTAAAATCTATAAGCAGTCTTTAAAATCATGATAACCTGAGTCATTGAGTCATTTATTTCTATAGCAATGGCAAAGATCAGTTTTTGTTTGTGTGTTTGTTTTTACCGTCAATAACATCCTGAATTCACAAACCCTATAATAATGGCCAAAAACCTCTTATCAGTTTCTATACTAAGATTATTTCAAAGATACTGCGTGTTTATCTTATTCTCTTATTTAATACCATCTTTTATAATTGCGTTTGATCTAATCTTACATAAAATTATTTACTTTCAATAACTGTATTAGTTCATTAGTTGCCGTGTGCGTGTGCGTGTGCGTGTGCATGTGCGTGCGTGTCATTCCTCCCCAATGCAGAAGTACCATTTATTTTATTTATTAAAATCCAAACATGTCACGTTTGCTTATCGAACATAACAAATGCCCTGCTAAACACAAAGCAAATGCAATAAACGGGACACATCTGTCATCAATATCTTCATTTCGATGCTTATGTTTAAGGGTTCCACGTTTACGCTAGTTTTAGGTAAATAATTGAATCGTTTTGCACGGATGACTTCGAAGATATATACAAATCACTTCCCACATTTCTTCGTTATAATCCAGAATATTGAAAACGAGATTAAAAAAAAAAAAAAAAAAAAAAAAAGTTGACAGGGGTGCACAAAGATAGTTAAATAAATATGGCTTTAACTTTCATTTCAAAAGCATGCTAATTCCCCCCCTCCCCCCCTTGGAATGTTTATGATTTTTTTTTTCCGACGTTATTAAAGAAAAAAGAAGAATATATATAGGGCCAATGTGAAGTAAGGGTAAGTCCGAACGTCGAATTTTGAAATAATTCTTAATTCTTTCTTTTTAATTCTTAAAATTTTCCCCCTTTTGGTATGTTTATATTTTTTTCCGACGTTATTAAAGAAAAAGAAAAAATAATAAGGATAAGGATAATTTTTTAGGCAAGGAAGAAAGGGAGTGAATTTTTCGGAAAACCCAAAATGCCTGAATTTTAAACAACAGCAATTTTACCTTTTTTTTTTTTTTTTTTTAACAATTCGTCAAAAAAGGGGGGGGGGGAATCCTATACAAAATCTCAAAATTTCGCTTAAAACGAAGCTTACTGCACTAAAAATGGCGTTAAAAAAAAGAGATTATTTAAAATTTTGTTAATTACGGAACCAACAAGCATTAAACATTTTAAAAGAAAAAAATAGAAAAAAAAGAGAGAAAAAAAAAAACTGAACTTCATCAAACAAGATTTTAAAAATCTTCCTTCCCTTCCTTATTTTCCCTTTTTTCTTCCTTTCCTTTCCTTCCTCTCTATTTCCACGAACGGAGGAAAAGAAACACACTCCTTCCGCATTACCTGGAAGAGCTGGAAGAGGAGAAAGGCAGCCGTTCCCGCAAAAAAGAGGAAAATCAAGCCTCGTGAAGCCATTTTTCTCCACCTTCGTCTCCGGGTCGCATGGCGGTGTCCCGATCCCTTCGATCTTCATTTATTCGTTTTAAAAATAATAATGATAATAAGTTTAAAAATGATAAATAATAATGAAATTATAATGATAAATTATATAATAATAAAATGACAATAGTAAATTATATAATAAAAATAATAAATGATCATATGATAATAATAATAATAGAAATGATAATGATAAATTCAATCAGGTTTTGGGGTATTTTTTTGGGTGGTATTCGGTGGTTGAATTATGTTTGGTTGTTTGGATGATGTAAGGGATTAAGTTAAAAAGAGAGGTAAGGCATGGTTTAAGAGAGTTTGTTGAGTGTTTAGTTTGTGATAATTGTGAGAAGGGAATCGGACGATGCCCCTTAATAAGGCCCGCCAATTTTTTTTTTTTTAACGTTTTTTTTCCAGTTTATTTTTTAAGGTTCGTTTCATCCCTTTTTATTGGACTATTATCAACATTAATTTCCAAATGACGTTTATCTGTTATTTTTATTACTTATTTTATGTTGTTCATTTAAATTCCCTTCAATGGCCATTATTTGAAAATTTTGTTACTTGGCTTAAAAATTATCAACGGCAAAGATCTTTTCAACATCATGTAAAGTGCAAATGGGCTGCATTTATATTATTAAATTATCTATCAACTATTCATCTATTTGTCCATTTGTGTATATGTATATGAATAATTATGCATTCATGTTTCACAGCATTTTTTAGTGATCATAAAATTAATATAATTAATATATATACTCAAAGCAATAGTATATAAAAAATATATATAAAGTATTATCTAAATACCTTTTCAGTGTAATTATATGTATTAAACTGGTTAACAGTATTTTTATACACATGTAATGACAAAGCAGTTTTTTTTGTTTTTTTTCCTTCTGAAGAATTTCACTGAACCAAAAAAATATATTCTTTGTGATACATATTTAAGGATCGTTTTCTTGTAATTAAATCGTTATTATATATAAAATCTTACGTTTAAACCCAACGTTTTTTTTTTCTTGTCTTTCTTTTTTTTTCTCTCTCTCTTTTTTTTTTTTTGTTCATGAATACTAAAGCCATTCATTATTTTTCTTGATTTTAATATTCATGAGTACTAAATTTATGCCTTTGAACCCAATTCTTATCTATTTCGTTATCTATTTTAATCTTAGTGAAGGGGATACAAATGCTTACCGTTTTTACAACTCTTTTGTTTTTTTTAATTAAATTTATAACACGAATAGATAATTAAACGAATATCGAGAAAGACGAAGAGAAAAAGAGAAAATCGTCAGAGAGAGAAAAAAGATACAACTACGTAATTATACAATAAAATGCATTACCTTTATATAAAAAAAAAACGGCCAGACGATAGGCCTATATGAAAAGGGGTAAATAATCTCTTTTTCTTTTTATTTAATTTATCATTTTCATTTAGTAGCATTCTTAGGGTTGTATTATCTTCATGGAATGGAAATTGCCATTGGGACAAATTAAGTTATCCAACGATATCTTTTGTGGAAGGGAAAGTTGGCGAGAAAGAGAGAGAGAGAGGAGAGAGGAGAGAGGGGGGGGGGGGGGGAGAGGGAGAGAGAGAAAGAGAGAGAGAGGGGGGGGAGTGTGAGAGAGAGAGGGGGGTGAGAGAAGAGAGAGAGAGAGAGAGAGAGAGAGAGAGAGAGAGAGAGAGAGAGAGAGAGAGAGAGAGAGAGAGAGAGAGAGAGGAAAAGAGAGAGAGAGAGAGAGAGTAGGGTCATAACATAAAATTTTAAATACAAGATGGCTGCCATTAACATGAAGTATCTTAGCAACTATGGAACATGATTTTTAGATGAGCTCATGTTTTTGGTCTGTGAATCCCATAGGGCACTCGGACAAGGTCAAAGCCTGCGTTGGATCAGTGTGCAGAACCTATTTCACTATGCTGGCCAGGAGAAGGTCAAAAACATGCTATTCCCGCATGCCTTTACAAGATGTGACACCGTGTCAGCCTTCCGTAACAGTGTCAAGAAAACTGCTTGACAGACATGGGGCATTTGTCGAGAGGCCTCGCCTGTATTCTCCAAGCTGAGTATTTATCCTCCCACAATGGATGATTGTGACCTAGAGATTCTGGAGAAGATTGTCATCCATCACAGCTGCTACTGTGGATGAGGCCAGGCTTATGTTCGCCAGAAAACAGAGGCCATATGAGTCAATCCTACCAACCAGAGCAGCTCTGTTTCAACACATTGAGCGTGCTGCCTGCCAGGTTGGTTGTGTGTGGGCCCAGGCAATCCAGTGTGAGCCAGAGGAGGACCCAGCAGACCGGGGAAGGCAGAGGGTTGGTAAGGAATTTCAGGTCTTCTGGACAGCTAACTCTCCAGTAGCCAAGATTTACCATCAGTTCAACAAATGTGGCTGGCTGTCGTGGCAGGTGCAAGTGCTCTTATGTGTACAGCTCTGTGCAGTGGCAAATGTGAGGTATAACTTTACACTCTTGTGATCTTATTTTTGGAGGGACTGAACTGTTCTATAACATGCAATCAGTACATAAGATCTTTCACAATGAGTATTTACAGTATGAGACTGGATCACACTTGCAATTCGTACTTTGTGTAAATTTACATACTTTCTTGCAGACATCTCCAACGACATCTTTAGTACAGGTAGTTTTTTTCGATTACTGAAACGGGTATGCGAAATTCTCACCTGGCATGTCATATCTCCAGAAATGTAACAGATACAGACCAAAATCCTCACAGTACCCAAGTCTATGTCCAGTTTCATTATATTTGAGAAAAAGAAAATTACTATTTTTCAAATCATGTCTGATAAACCCATTTTTTGTCACCACATGTAGACTTTCAGAGGTATGTTTATATCCTGGGATAGTAAAATATGTCAATTTGAAGCCAATATTTATTATAAAGCTTATATATGAAGAGCCTATTTATTGCTAATATTTTAACTACATAAGACAACACTCATAAAAAAGGGAATGATATACATGAAATACAAACAGTTTCACATGTTAAGTCGATTAAAAAAAAAATATTACATCAATATTCATAATTACATCTACAAAGACAGATAGATTTCAACTGAAAATGGAAATCAATAATCATTAGCAAATCGTCCACAAGATCAAATGAGAATTAATCGAAACAAAGAATCAATTAAAGCTGAGATATGGAATAGCAGGAATGACAGAGGGAGATAGATAGAAAGAAGAAAGATAAGGATGAGGAATATAAAAAGAAGAAAAGAAAGGGAAGAAAAAAGAAAAAGAATAAAGAAAAGAAAACAAAGAAGAAAGGCAGATGAAAAACAGTAGAAACATGAAAAAAGGAATAGATGTTATTGATAAGAGGATCAAACCAAAAGTTAGCAGAGGCTGACAGCAAGAACCAAAAAGAATGAGTTACATATAGTTGTTAAAAATAGCAGATGACAGCAAGAACCAGAGGACTGGCCTCATATGTTTTGTTTTTTTTCTAAGATTGATAAAGGCCGTTACAGGAAAAGTACATAGCGGCAAGAAAAAAGAGAACTGTCTACAAATGGCTGTTTAAAAAGACAGAAGGAAGACTGAGACATGCATGATTGTTTAAAAAAAAGGCAAATGGCGGCAAAAACCAGGCAATCTAACGGCAGGAATCACGGATTGCAGTCGCCAGAGAGAAGCATTCATTGAGGAGGCTTGATTGAAGCAATCAGAGAGCTGTTTCCCCAGAGGCGTCAATATCGTGGACGTCAGCAGAGAGGGTGAAGTGGGAAGGGGATCTGAAGAGTAATGTAATATATGATAATCATGAGATAAAATGGTATGAAGTGTTGTGTCAAATACGGGGGTTAATTCTGTAGCATTCAACTTTACATCGTTTTTTTTATGTTATTGATAACATTTACGTACATACATATAGATAAATGTTTAAATACATTTAAATTTTAGGTCTATATGTATGATAGCAAGCAACGATTTCATTGAGGATCCGGTTAGAATAAGTAGAACGTTTTAACATTTAACAGCATTTAAGTACGGTTATCAAGTTGGAAATTTAATTCTTAATTCAAGTGAAATCTAGTATAAATCGATCCACGCATTCCACTGCCTGAAATAGAATGAATATATAT